TTTCTGCACAAAGATGCATCTGAGCTTTTCATTTTAAAGGAAGGAGAGCCTAGAGGTTTCATTCAATATTTAATGTTTATATTTTATACTCCTCGTAATATGGGGTAATTCAGTCAATGTAATATTTTTGGATGGTAGAAAAGTTCAAACATGAAAATTCCATTTGGACTGTCTGTGCTGCATATCAGAAATCTCTAAGGGTATTTAATCATTCAGAATAAGAAAGGTTTCTTTAATTTTTAAACATGTATTTCATTTTATGTTTTATTTAAATTGTCTTAACATTTACATAGAACCCCTTGAAGGCTTGAAAACTTGAAATTTACGTTAGATTAAAAAAATAAATAATTATGAAGCATAGTGTATGTGGAGATATATTAGAGGAAGAAAAGGTACTATTTGAGTATGAAGAAACTCTGATAATTACAAAATATGACTTGCAAAAATTATTAATTTATATAGTGATTATTTGTTTTAAAGGAACTAGAAACCAGATTCCCAAAGAAGTTTTGCACTTATGCTGCCTCTCACAATAGTATGAATATTTAAAGAAGTAATATATATGAGGAACTCCAAGTTGCAAAAGTGTAGTTAATTGCTGCTTATGAGACAGGGAATTAAAACCACTCTGATAGTTTCTTTTGCTATATGTTAAGAGATGGATGTTCTTGGAAGTACTCGGGAAATACAGGCTAAGATAGCTAGGTTTGTACTACTGCTGTCAATCTTTGGGAAAATTAATTAGGATAGTAAAGTCTAAACATTGTAAACATGGAAAGGAACATCACCAGCTTCATGGTGAAATGTTGTACAGCCAAACGTGGTCCACTAGGGACCAGGGCAAAGAGGAGGAATCAGAAGCGCTGAGAGTAGAAAGTTCAAATTGTAACTGAAAACCTAAAGATAAAAGCATTTCTTGTAGTAAGTTCATGTATCTTTAGACTGGGATTCCACTCCAAAAAATGAATGAAAAGGTTTGTATATTTTCTCATAGTTACCAGTTGTATAGTCCAGAATACTCATTTTGGCCATGGTTGCTGTGTGAGGTTTTACTGACAGTCCCTTGAGGGGACTACAAGGTCCTACAAGGACTTCTGAAAACAGATTAACCTTCATTGTTTAACAAGCAGTACTGAAAAGAAGATGTTTATTTGCTTCTGACCTAAACGTGCTAATGACAGTTTACATGCTATAATTTCTGAGTGTACCTGCAAAATGCTAATCTGATTGTTTTTGTAAGGTATTTCGCTTATAGTTCTGGTTTCTTCAGCTGTTGAGCAAGGACTTTACTATTACCACTGTGTGAGTGTTTTCCCAGCTCACTAAAGAAAGATGAAATTATTTTTTAACCTTTACAAGATAGATTATTTAAATCCACCTATTAACAGCAATGCACTGTATTCTCAATTTAAATTTTACTAAATATTTGTTAGTCGACAACTTTGTTTCACTCATGAGAATGCAAGGTTATTTCACATATTTTGGGTGGAAAATTAGATGGGGGGAGGGCGCGTGTCTTCGTCCTGCTAACTTTCTTTTGTCTTTCCTCTGTTGTGGCATTTTCTGGCTGGTACGAACCTCAGGCTAAACCTGCTTTGGTTTCTCTGTGATTATTCCTTTCTTCCAGGTTTGGGGTATATGTTGGCAGTGTTTCAGTCTGTCTAGTCAAAAATTGTATGGTAATTTAATGTGATTTATTACATTGGAGGAATTGGCAAAATTTATTTTCTATCTGGTTTTAGAGCAGAAAATTTCTTGTGAAGCTTACGTAGAAACAATGCAATGATTGATTTTAGATTTTCATTGTAAACATTTGCTTGTTAAGAGTAACTCTTCCACAGATGTTATGAGCTATGTTCAGTTGTCTTTGGAAGGTATTCTTTGGCTTTCTACAGTCTACAAGTATGCGTGAGTGTAACTTTGTGTAAACACCTTAAATCACAGATAGGAGGTTTGTTATAGAGAGTGGTTTTACATATATTTAGTTGTTGTTACTTCTATGTAATTTTTAAGGAGAATACCCAGTATCAGATATTTAGTGTTGCTGTATTCACTTCTGGCTGTGACATCATGTCTTTGATATTGTCAGTCATTGGAATTTCTTAATGTAATTCAAAATTAGCAGGATTTTCAGAGAGCTGAAATGTGAAATGATCATTTTATTGCATCATTTATTGTTGGGAGGGGGAAATTCATTTAAAGTGAGGCATTTTCACTTTAAAAATTCATTTGAAACTTTGATATCTTTTTACATAAAGAAACCTTTTGTTCAAAACCAGTTTATGCCTATGTAGACAGAGATGTCCTTAGATTTTTAAACCTGGATATTTGTTTTAAAAATTTACATGATATTTCTCTTTTTTTTAAACTAAACTTTCAGAAAGAACTTGTTAAAACCAGTCTAAACCCAATGTTTCAGCTTTTGCTGAGATTTTTTGAATCACAGCTGGTTAATAAGGATTTTCTTCACTTCTTTCCCGCCTACATTAAGAGTACCTTTTCTGTCACACAGCCTGTGCAGTTTTCCCATAGGGACATATAATGGAGTTCATCAAAGTGAAAAAAAGTGAGTCACACAGTCATTTATTTACTCATGTAAGACAATAATGGTGTTGTTAGTTACCCGGACATGCTTTCATTTCTTTAGATTGTGCAAAAGCTGGGAGTTAAAAAGTCCTTGCAGACTAGACTACAAGTTTAAAGAAAGAAATTAAGTCATAGCTGCATGATGGTTACTGTCTCTTTTAAGGCTGTTTGTTGTCTTCTAGCACCAATGAGCAGAAATGTTGTTGCTCTAAATTTGCTAGAATATTTAATCATATACATTATAAAAAGGAAATTTTGTTTCCATGGTATAGAGTCAAAAGATATTTACTATTATTTTATTATGATTAAAATATCAGTTTAGAGTCTAAAAGAAAAGAGAAGGGCTTTCCCAGATCTCTCCATGTTTCGCAAATAAAGCTTTCTCACTATTCCTGCCCGGAGATGTCAAGATTCTAACTGTCCCACTTAATTCTGTTTATATGTAAGGTTTTATATGTATCTGCTGGACTGATGACTACTTTTCAAGTATAGGATTCCCTGCCTGCTCTATTCTCCTTTCCAGTCCTCTGGGACTGGAGTTCCAAGAATTAGTGACACTGGAGTAACAGCAGAGACCTTGTGTATGAGTGCTGTAAGAGTAACTTGGAGTCGCTCTGAGTAGTACACTGGCTCCAGTGGGTTTATCAGAGAAGAAAGGATTCCTGACAGTGGTATCATCTGGTAGGAGTGCTTTGTGGTGTTTTAATTACTCATTTGCCTCAGCTAAAGCTAAGAGGAGTTCCTAAACTAAGCTAAGCTAAACTAGGCAAAGAGCCCTGCATTCCCCAATTATCTTTGAGGCTTCTGTGCAGTAGATATGCTTCATAATGAGCTGGCCTGTCCCTGTCCTTCAGTTGCCCAGCTTTGGGGATCTGCAATTCATATGGGCTCCCTTCTGGGTTTCCTTCCTAAGGACAGTGTTCACCAAACCAATGGTGGTGGTTTGGGCTTACATCAAATGCCAAAAGCTGTGAAATATTTCTGCACGCCACAGTCAGATACAGCCCACACCTCCAAAGGCAAGGAGAACAAAAGGGAGCCTTTCACAAAGACTGTTTATTTCCCAAGAGAGCCACGTTACCGTGTCTTCAGCCTTCTTCCATGAAGTGTAACTCTTCCACATACTCTGTTGATGTGATAAGTTGAAGAACTGGTAATTACTTCTGAAGCAGTTAAAAGGTTGATGTACTTGATGAGAATTTAGGACACAGGCAGGGCAATCCTGTATACAAAAATTTGATGATGAAAATAAAATGTACCACCTTTGTCTTGTGGGAAAGATCAGTTTCTTTCTTAGGTGAATCAGAAATCGAAGCTTATATTCTTATGTTAATACTTTTGTTAACTTCCTTGTTAGATTTTTTTTTTTTTAGTGAAAGTGGTATGTCTGACATCAGAAAACATCGTTGCCTTGCAATTTTTGTGTGTAAGTTAATTCTACATATGAGGGCCATTGAAATCTTCATTAAAGCTCTACAAAGCATGTAAACGAAATGTGATACAGGTTTTACCTATCCTTGGTATTTCTTTCATTTCAGCTACTGCACACCTTGCTGTCTTTTCCTAACTCCAGTCAACTGTGTAATGCTGCGTAGTAAAATATGAGATCAGAAATTGAAATGTAATTATTTTGAATTAACTTTCTATATCCATAGCCGTGCATCCTGGGTTTATTTTCTGAGGGCATGTATAACCACATTTCTATCTATCTAGTTAGTGTAAGTGAGAAGCAAAGATAGTCAGCATCAAGTATTCATCCCAAGCACAAGATTGCTCATGGTCCTTTTTCCACTGTCTTTAGCGACTGGACCTAGTGTCTAACTTCCAGACACTGGGTATGTACCCTTTAGCTGTCCTTAACAAGTAGTGAAGAGTCTGAGACACTGCTTCCCTTGTTAAATTCACCGGTGATCAGAGTTCATTTGTGTGAAAAGGCTTGTGTCTGCCTTTATTAGTGTCTCATTTGTCTTCAGAGTTTAATTTAATATCTCCCTGGGTGAGCAACAGTATGGGAGGTAATCAGAAGTTTGATATCATGGCTTTAGGGAGTTCATTTTGTTTCCTTAATTGGTTTACATTCCACCTGCGCAGAATCTGACTTCAGATATCCTAAGGTTTTTGCAAGGTAAGCATCCCTGAAATTCAAGCCTAGAATTTTTGTCATGTCATATTTTTGCTATATTTATTTATGGTTTACACAGTCCATTGTGAATATATATTTAATCTTTTGCTTTTCCCTACATCTTTTTCATCTCAGGGATCATTTGTTTCCATTTTTAAACAAATATTTTTCGGTAGTATTTGTAATTTAATTTGAAATGTAAAGTAAAAAGAGATATTTGTAGATTTTTAAATACTCTGTCCAGATATTCGGAAAATCAGAAAGTAAGTAAAAAATTTTCACTTATTCTCAGCAAACTGCATTCAGAGGATGAGAAGAACGCCTCCGCTAGATGAACTGCAGCCGCCTCCATACCAGGATGATAGTGGTTCTCCTCATCTTTCATGTACGCCTTCTGAAGTCGGAGACAGTAAATGTGAATTTTCCCAGTGTAGCAACAGTCCAAGGTGTTCGTATAAGTGTCCAAGTGAGGGAAGCACAGGACACGAAATAGAAAGCTTTCATAACAAAGGATATGAAGAGGATGTACCAAGTGATAGCACAGCTGTCCTTAGTCCAGAGGTAAATGAAAACAGTTGAGTGTTCTGAAGTGTCGTGCAATGCAACCTTTTGAAAATTTTTTTTTTTTTTTCCCTAAAGATTAATGTACAGGTATATAACCACTAATATTGCAGCTCATTCATTAAAAAAAGTGAGTTTGTTAGAAAATATTGCAATAGGATTTCAGATTGTTCTTTATAGTTGTCTTTGTGGCATCTTAACTTTCAAACAAGCTCCCAGTAAGAGTGATTAATTTTTTTTAAGCAAATCAGAAAACTTCATCACATGATAAGGACTGTAGTCAAAGTTCTTTTTCTTCCACATAATTTTTCAAACAACTCAATAAAACAACCAAACCATCAACAATTCCTAACACTTTTCAAACTTAACACCCCATAATGTAAAACTTCTTTTATGAAAAAAAAACATTGCAAAGAATTTTTTTACATTGTTGGTGGTAGTATAGAGATTTATTCCATTTAATTTTACTTTTTTTTTTCCTGCTATAAACTGTAATGATATCTATTTATTTTTACTATGAAGAAATAATATTTTCTGACATATATTTCCTTGAAATTGCTTTAACAACCAGTTACTGCACTGACACCTATGGATAAGTCCACATTAGTGATGTCATGTGCAGAAGAGGCTCTTTTTGATACAAATTTGTGTTTTGTCTCTACCTGAAGTTTTGAAGTGGATATTAGGGACCACTCCAGATGTGCCAACAGGTGTTCCTTTCTTAGTAGACCTCTTGGTAAGTTGATGTTGCATGCCTGGGGTGTTGGTGCAACATCTGGAAGGCCCACCTGATATGTGAATGCAAGGTTCTCCAGCAGCTATCTGTCTACACGTATTTGATGATCAGCTGGGACCACAGTCTGTGTGAACTTCATTGCTGGTAAAGACATAGTGTGTACATATGGTCCTTGAACCCTAACAGATTGCAGCAAATCTAATCCTAGTTGTTCCCGCTTTGTGTCACACCAGTCATTAATGTAAGCATACCCAGTAAGAAGTGAGAATACTGCCAACTTTTTTTATAGCCACTCAACAACTTGCAGAATGAAGCTTTCAGAGGAATGAATTCCCACAGCTATGTAGCAATCAGTTTAAAATAAGAACATGGTATTTTTTTAATCCAAAAATCTTTATTGTGGCATCTATTCATTTACATGAATGAGTCTATCTTTAATACGAAAGTGCACAGGAAATACATCTGTTTTACCTACTTGGAATAACTTATTATAGGAACAATAGGTTGACCTGCACTTGTAAATATTTCATGTTTCAATATCGCTATCAAACTAGCTGTTTTAAAAATATAGAGGATCAATATTTTGTCCAAAATTTTTAGTGGCAATAAACAATTTTTAAATTTAAGTTTAAAAAACAGTTTTAGGAATGATGCCATTTACAGATCATCAGAAAGTGTGTTCACAACAAACACATCTTATACTGTTCTAGTAAAATTACGTTAATAAAACCATGATAATTTTTGGCACATTTATAGGATCCTTGTGGACTGTAACGAGTTGTATGTGCAAGCAGGTGTATTCTTTGCTGGCATCTCACTGTCCTCTCAATCACTACCCAGCTCTTTAAAACAGTATAATAATATATTAACTTAAAAATGTGTGTGTACTTGCACTGAAACAAGGTGGTTCTATCTCATAACAAATGTTTATAGATTTTAACATGTGGGGCACGGAAGAAGAGATCATAAAAACAGCTTAATTTAATCTGAGCTCTGTCTGATTGGCTCCTGGGTTTTGGCAGTAATGCCCAGGTAAAATCTTTTGATTTCTTCTTGGCTGCTAGTCAGGCATCTCCTCAGGCTTTCGGTGTTTAATTACCTTGTTTATGAAATGAACAAAAAGATCATAGTCACTTCATATTGCTTAGAGAAAGCCATCTATTTCCACGTTAGATTTAATAATAGAATGCAATAAATAAATAAATAAATAGCTGCTTTTTCTTCTTCTTTTTCAGGATATGTCAGCTCGAGGATCATCTTCACAGCTTCCTAAACCTTTTGATCCTGAGCCAGTAGCTAAATATGGCACACTGGATGTGACTTTTGACTATGACTCACAGGAACAGAAGCTTTTGGTGACAGTGACAGCTGTCACAGACATTCCCACATACAGCAGGACAGGTGGAAGCTCGTGGCAAGTACACCTAGTTCTTCTCCCTATAAAGAAGCAGAGAGCAAAAACCAGCATCCAGCGGGGACCGTGCCCTGTCTTCACAGAGACATTCAAATTTAATCACGTTGAGTCTGAGATGATTGGGAATTATGCAGTTCGCTTTAGACTCTACAGCGTACGTCGCATGAAAAAAGAGAGGATTGTGGGAGAAAAGATTTTTTACTTAACAAAATTGAATCTTCAAGGGAAGATGTCAGTGCCAGTGATACTGGAACCTTCTTACAGTCCGTCTGTGAGTATTAAATGAGGCAGAATAAGAATGCAGTGATATCCAGTGTCCTGAATTTTGTAAGAATAGCGTCTGTATTTATAGAGTCATCACATCCACTCAATTTTTTTCAGCAGCCATAGCACCATATTAACACAACGATAATTTCCTTAGAGTATCTAAAAGTACATTCACTTTCCACCTGCAAAAGCTGCCCATATTTTTCCTTTTAATTACTTAAAAATTTCCAGTCTATAAATAGGGATATAGTTGTAAATATATGTAGATTTGTATACATGCAGATACATAGATATGTATTTACTAGTATAGTCTTTACTCTGTTACCCACAGCATTTCAATTAAAAAAAACGGAGGGGAGGAAAAAAAATCTATACTAGCAAGTGCCTTCCATCTGTTACGATGAAATCTTGGTTGCAATAAGTATTTTCCTTTCAGGAAAGAAAGATAGGAAAGAGGAATTTTGAGAGCACAAAACCATTTTTAATAACTTCCGCTTAGAGCCTTGTAAATAATTGATTTCTGGTTCAGTCTGAAGTGAAAAATAGTGTGAAAAGTAGTTCAAACTGAAAAGGATTTTTGTTTGCTGAAAAAAAAGTCCTACCTATCTGATGAACAAAATTTTTTGTCCCCCAAAATAATTAAATTATTTTTAATAAAGCAAAGCAACACTAATTAAGGGTAAACTTCGATATCACTGTCAAAAATCATAGGAGATCACTGTATGGGCAGTGATCAGTATCTCCTTTTTCTTTTTCGTGAGTATTTCAGTATCCTTTTGTGCAGAAAGGGAGTGTTTGTGATGTTAGGGCCAGGGCTCCGCAGACTAGGACTGCTTGAATGTTTATTGCTTAAGAGCTGTGTACATGCTAAATAACTGACTTTTTGGTGAAGAGAATGTGTTTTAGCAAGGGCATCTTTAATTGGATATTGTGTGTGTTTTGTGGTGTTTTTTTTTTAACTGTCAATAAAAGAAAAGGTGAGACAGGAAGTAAAGGATTTTTTTCAGATGAAACAATAATTCGTTCTGCATTTTCAAAAACAGTTTGGATCAATTGAAATGGCATTTCTGTTGAACATAAGTATTACAAAAAAAAATCAAAACAAAATATTTTATTTAATGACTAAAAATATATTAATTAGAATTAGTAAAAACTGAGACTAAAACTTGGACCAACTGACAATAGAACAGCTTTTTTATGATTTCTTAAGAAGTACCAATTTAGTCTACTGCAGGGATGAAGCAGTTCACTTGCCTAGTGTGGACTTTCCTAATGCAAACTTTGCTAGTTTCACAGGTAGGAAAAAGACACCCCATGAAACAAAACTTTGAGTATTCTAAATGTATATTCCAGAAGGCTTCAAAAAGAAGATTGTAATTTATTTTCTGCAATGGTAAGGGATCCCTGCCCCATCCCTGGAAGTGTTCAAGGCCGGGCTGGATGGGGCTTTGAGCAACTTGCTTTAGTGGAGGTGTCCCTGCCCATGGAAGGGGGGTTGGGACCTGATGATCTTTAAGGTCCCTTCCAACTCTAACCATTCTATGATTCTATGATGCCATATCTGCATTTTACTCTTCTCCTTATTTTGTGGGGAAGGAACACTATAAGGAATATTGGTAGGAAGTGCAAGTATCTTCCAAAGTTTGCTGCTGTAATGGGGCTTAGGCAGATTTATCTTTGCCGCCCTGCCTGTTGCTGGAATGGAACTCCATAGTCTTGATAGCTTGAGTGAGGATCCATGGCTTTTTGGAACTATGCAAATCAGTTTTCAAACCTTTGGAAAGTCATTCACATCTGAGTTAATAGGTGTTTTTCTATTATTATTTATAGCCTATATAATTTTTTTTAGTGAGTAGATCTATTACAGGATTTAACATGTAGTTATTTTGCAAGAGTGTAAAAATTTATTATGTTTTTAGGATGTATGACTGGAAGCAGCATCCTGGGTTACCTGAGTTCAAGCCCTTGTTATTGCAGACAGCCAGGGCATTCTGATCACCAATTTGTGAATTCTCATCTGAAAATATCAGGTTGTTTCATTTCCAACCTGAATTTCTTCATGACCAATTTATAATGATTTGCTCTTACGGCAGCATGGTCCTTAAGCTTAATTAGTTCTTACCCTTCTCAGGTGTTTGCCTCTGGGTCTGTTTATATACATTGGTCATAGTCCTTTTGCTTGAACAAACCAACAAAATCTTTACGTCCAACTAATCATAAATCCCAGGTAGGAGTTATTTAACAGGAGAAGGCAAGTGTTGTTTCAGTTTGGAAAGATCCAGCTGTTCAGGTATTTTTGTAATTATACAATACATGATAAGGTACATTGTAAATTCTGAATTAAATTTGCCTTGTTCAGTTGCAGAGTGTTTTGTTGCTGTGAAGTGTTTATATTTGACAGCTTTTTTTATGAAAACATTTCTTGGACACATGACAGTTGCCCTATTTTTTTTCCCTGCTTCTCATTATATGGATTTTATATCTTAAATATACCTTCTGTCACTGAAACTTCCTAATCCATGGTAAAATCTATGCTAATCTCTTCTACAGAAATGTATTTGATTTGCTTCTGTCGGTGCTTGATATTATATTAATGTATTTTATTAGCTAATCATCTGCCTTCTGAATGAATAAGAGGAGTTCATATCCTGTGAAGTTTAGTATTTTTTTTCAGTTATACCTTAAAGCTATTCACAAGGGAATATGGTTAAACGTTGAGCAGCAAGGTCAGGACTGTTGAAACATAGTGGCAGGCTCACATGAGTGGGGCCTGCAACTCTCTCACTATTGTTAAAATGCGGGCAAGTGCATGTCGTGGTGAGTACATGATAGTAGAATGTTCCTTAAATAGGTTTCAAAGCTGCACATGGCTTCAAATTTACAAATTTATTCACAAACCATCTTCCTCACCCAAGACTTCACCCTGTTTCTCGCCTTCCTACGTTGCAGATAGTGTCATGCATTCGCAGCTATTACCCACGGTACTGTTGCCATTTGCCTTTAACAGTTCTGTGTTGCTGCAGTTCTCCCACGTAACAGGGAATTCCTCACGCAGTGTCCTCAGCCCCCTTATTTATTGCACCCTTCCTTCCAAGTTCAGCGTAGGTTTGAGGGAGGAAGAAGCAACAGAACCAATATGGGCTAGCCAGAGCGCGGTTGTCACTGTGCTCTGAGACTGTCTCTTTCAGATTTGATAGAAAGTGCCCATTGCATCAAAAGTTAATAGCAAGACTGTACGATGTGGTTTTGTCCGAGTATAGTTTGCTTAGGAAGACCTTTGTAGATCCTTTTAGAGAAATTTTCCTTTTAGTCTACAATGGTAGGCAATTTTTTGTTCACCTGCTTTAAAGTTTGGAATCCATTGTGATGTTTATTTTTCTTCAAGAAATCCCCCTGGACCTGTTTTTAGTTGCTTTTCATTCTTCTTGCGCAAAGAAATTTTCCTGACAGTGAACAACAGCCTCCAGTATGATCTGACTATAAAAACATATAAGCAGTTTATTGAGTGAGATCTGTTTGGAAAAGATCAAAAAAACCAAGTGTAATCCTCTTCACCTTTCGATAGCTTGCTTTGTGATGTAGAAAAACAAGAAATAATCATGTTTTAGATATTTATGATTGATTTTCGAAGTACAGTTTTGATGACTGAAACATACACTCTTTCTGCTAAGCAAATCTGGTAATCGTTCATTATGTGTTGTCAATAACAAGTTATTTGCTGTGGAGAATTACATTTATTTTTCTTTCTTGCTGTAGGGTTCTGCATTTCTAACATATTGAACTCTCAGATGCGATCCCTGTGACAAAGAATAGATAGTGTAGACATTCATACGTGCTTAAAGGATTATTTTGTGTATGTTTACTATAAATACCTAGAGTGTCCTAGGATTATTTTAATTGTAATTTTTTTGCATTAAGGCATTTTTGCATGCAGTGTAGAAAAATGCTCACTCTTGCACATGCATGTGTGCGCTTTCTCCACTTTGAGGGCAATGGTTTATGCATAGTGCTTAAGGCATTTGTTCCATGTTGCCATTTGTGTGGTATATCTTTAATATTCTTTATAGTAGATGTTTATTGTTTTATAAACTCAGGAAGAAAAGCTTTCAGTGGGCATTTCTTTCTTGCGAATTCTTGGCAGTTATAGATTTGAGCTTTCAGGTTTTGTGCAAATCCTAGTATTTTAGGACCTATTGGTGTTCTTACGGCATGGTCTATTCAGGATTGTATTTGGAAGGCTAAAGACTCAAATTCACGTGTATAAACAAATCTTTACTAGATTGGCTATACTTTCAAACAGCTAATGAATAATACTTGTCTAGAGGGAAAAAAAAAAATATATTTTGCTCATAGTATTTTATTTAACTAGAATTCTACCCAAAAGGATCGGTTCTTCTGTGATGGTGCATAAATGCTTTCAGTTAACTTGTAAAAATTATGTCCATCAAAGTAAGGGGCAATTATCTTTAAACACTGAGCACATTCTTATCTTGGGAATAGCTCACTGAATTCATTTGGGTTAGTGGTGTAAAATATGGAAGATCCTGTTACACAATAAGAAAGATGACTCTTTGATTTCTTTGAAGAAAATTATTAGGTGGTTGGAAAAGGGTGATCATGTTACTAAGGCTGCAGGAGGACTTCACAGTACTTGGCAGAGGAAGTGGACTCCCTGTGTTTGGCTGGCTGTGCAGGATTTCACAGCAGAATGGGCAAGCAGCAGCCTGTGCCTTCTCAGTGTCCTGGCTGCCTCAACTTGTGTGCCTTTGTGTGGTGTTGCCCAAGCACTGCTCCTGGCAGCTGAGAAGATAAGCACTAGCCCATGGCACTCTCTTATCAGTTCTTCATCAGGGTGTGAGGGGGTGGGGAGAACCCAAAGGCAACTGTGGCAACTGTGCCCTTTTTAGAGACACACAGTGGTGTGTCTGCAGTGTTCTGGCAGGTGCAAGTTTCAAAAATTCACATAGAATCTGACCAGTTGATAAGGACCTCCCTCTAGGTAAG